TTTGATCCACAATGCACGCTGCTCACGACGACAACTGGCCAGCATTGCTGTGCTGTTCGCTGGTGTAGTGCGATTGTACGTGTCTTCTTCCTCTTCTTCACTGTCCACTGGCATACGGAATACGAAACGACAATCCCGACCGAACGGATACGTTGGTCGCATGGGAGGTTGCTGCACAAGAGCCGGCTGGACGCGAACACGACCGACCAAAGCGGACGAGGTGCCTAACCGAGACCAAACATTTCGTCGTGTTCCAGTCACCTCTGGTGGTGATCCGGTCGACTGACGAGTTCGCTGGTTGGTGGCCGGTTGTTCCGTACTAGGTGTAACTTTTAACGCACGATCGGCCTTCAAACGGGACCATGACGATTGGTTCGGCGATGTCGAGGAAGTCAGTGTTGTACTAGCACCAGTTACAATGACATTAGGATCGGGAAGCTCACGTAGCACAGTGGACGTTGGTTGTCCTCCCATAGGTCGATCCAGATTTGAGATACGTAGGCCAGTAGGGGAGGAAGAAACGTCTGTTTCTCCCGATGGACTGATTCTAGCTCGTGGTAAATCAGACCGATTCGTGGGCATCATATGTTGATTTTCTGACTCAGAGGTTAATTGACAATTCAGAATCAGCCCAGAAACGGATAAACCACTGGGCGAGGAAACGGACCAATCGGTCGGCGGAGATCCCGAAGGGAGCAGGGTACTTCCTGGCAACGAGACCAAACTAGGCGATGTGATGTGATTGGACGGATTAAACGGGATGAGCAATGATCCATCAGGACTGTCGAATTCAATCGAATCGTCATCGTGACTATCCAGCATCGGTCTGAAACTGGAGTGGACAATGGACAAGAAAATGAAAACATTATAAATAATTTATCGAAGACGAAAAATTATACTGCTGATTTACAAATCTAATGGTTGTTTCGTTGATTGAAATCAAGGGACAAAAAGGTGCACCTAATCTGCTATCCCAATTGTCAACAGACGGGACTCAGAGAACACCGTTCAATTCGGTACCGATTTGAAACCATACTAGTGGTCGAGTACGTAAATTGAACAGTGATTCTACTCGTAATTATGATTAAACACTGAGAAACATCTCACTGAACTATTTTATTGGGTGGTAAACCAAATAATTCAATCGTCGTTCCAACAAACCGTTGATGTAGTTGAATCCATTGTTGCAGATTCGGTAATCGATCATCTGGAGGATAATGGCTTACTATCCCCAGGCCAGCACGGGTTTCGAAAAAATCGTTCATGTGCAACTAACTTGATTTTAGTTCGGGACAATTGGACTCATGCTGTAGACAAAGGCAAAGTGGTAGATGTTATTTACATGGACTTCTCTAAAGCACTTGATACGGTAAATCATCAAATACTGATACGGAAGCTGTATAATTATGGAATCCGTGGACTCATACTTGGCTGAATCGAGGAGTTTTCTCGCCTACGTACCATGACAATTCGTGTTCCCGACTCACTTTCTGATCCAATAGATGTCAATCGTGGGGTTCCACAAGGATCTGTGATAGGCCCACGTCTTTTTCTTACCTTTATAAATGATCCTCCAGACGTCCTCGGACCACAAACTCTGTTGTTTTCAGACAATACCAAAATATGGAGGACAATAATAGAACCAGAAGATTCATTTGATATCCAGAACGCCCTTGACGAAGCCCACAGATGGTCTGTCTCCAAAGATATGGAATTCAACGTTACCAAATGTAAAGTCTTATCACTACGTCACAATGGCCACTTTTCTACACTCTCGGACACAAAACTCTGCCTCATGGATCTGGGAGTAGTCGTTCGCAGAGACTTGAGTTTCCCCACAAACTGTTCCACGGCATCATCCATGGCGGTAAAACAGGTTGGACTGCTAAAACGTGTTTTTGGATCGTCTGAGCCGGCTTTGTTTCCACGTCTGTTATCCAAATATATCTGCCTATACACCGAGTACTGAATTCAGGCCTGGAACCCATGGCTGCAGCGAGATCGCAAGACGTTTGAACACCCGCGGAGAATGACTATCAAGTTGGTCAAACGTCTACATTCCAAGATCTATGGCGAAAAACTCCAACTATTGGGGCTATACTCGTCTCAATATCGTCAAATCAAAGGTGATGGGATCTTAGTGTATTGGATTTTCCAACAGTCCAATCGTCCATGTAGATATCTCTATCAACCAATGTTCATCTCAGAGGGCATCCACTGAATTTGGCACTCCAAAAGAGCCGTCTCGACTGCAGACGCAATTCGTTTGCAGTCAGAGTGCGCAGCACATGGAACTGTCTACCACCTCACATGGTCTGTGCCCCAACATTAGTATCTTTCACGTGTCAACTTGATGATACTCTGGCAAACATTATGTTTCAACACCCAACTACATAATATATTACCCACGAGCATTACATTACTCGTTTACGTACACTAACTGTGCGCTTGTGAATCGTGTTCCGAACCCAAAGTGTAAACACCCCATGGGCTTTGATAAGCGAAGTCTTTGTAAGTTTTTCGCATAACAAAAAGTTCAATTGGATGAAGTAGGTAGAGAGGCTTGGGTTTCTGCGCACCTTGAAATGGGTGGCTAGGCGCTACGAGGAAGAACAAGTGCGAAAGGGAAAGAAGCGGCACGGTCACTGGAGCAAAATCCAAAGTAGTAACGATTGAATAAGAAGCAATAAGCAACTTCCTGACGGTAAGCTAGTGACTGCAAGCTGCATGCTAGGGATGGGTCGTCGATGGGACGGATGGCCATAGGTTGAACCCGATCAAGAAGAGAAAGAGAAGTGGACGAAACTCCACCGCACACATGACTGCAGTATGCAAGTGAAGGGCAAATCAGAGCTTTACAAAGCGAGAGGAAGTGAATGGGGGCCAAGAAGCGCGTGGCGCGGGAGAGGAAGCCGATTTTTCCCGCAGCGCGAGTGACAAGTAGATAAATATATGGTGAACTTCAAAGAGAAGAAGATAAAGAAGGTCGCAATAGGTTGCATGAATTTGTGGAACGAAGAATGTTCGAGTTAAAATTCAATGGAGGCGAGAAAGATGCGTGTGTAATAGAACTTTACATAAGGGGAGTTTAGCATTAGAGAGAACACGATTGAGATAGCCCCTTTTCTGAGATAACAATTTTCGCACTTCTCACGGCCGTATTTTGGAATGAAATTAAGGAACTACCGTTGTAGATCGGTTCATTTTGAATGCTGAACTTCACCCGGTCATTCTGGCAGGTTAACGACTGCACACACGCGCACACATACACAATCCAAAAGTGGTGATCCTCGAGTCACAATCCATTGAGTACCATTGGAAATCGCGCGGAGGGAAAAGTCTATCCGTGATGATAAGTAATGCGTTATTATTGACGAAGCATTGCTGCTGAACTTTGGATTACCAGACAATTCCGAAAACAACGTTTAATCGCTACGATACTAGCTAGTCAATTACCCGATCGAATTGAAAGTGACTTTATTAGCATTTGAGAAAACATTGAGCCAAAGATTTATTTTTGATAATTCATTCTGAATCTCATGAATGAACTCAGGGAAGCAATAAATGTCATGATTCATAAAATAAACTTTGTGGGGAGAGGTCGCAGAGCTGCAGCCGTTTGATTAAACCGATTACGTAACGCGATCAGTCAGCCATGGTTTGATTACCTGAAAAACGATTGATTACATCTCGGAAACATTTTCCATTCCATTTGGAAACCTCTACGTAGTCAAATCTATCTATGTACTCTGTGAAAATATGATGTGCACTTTTGTTATTCCGAAAATTTGGAATTCTGCAGAAACAGCTGGGGGGGGATACACCGAGCAACACGGGTGGATNATGGTACTTCGCACACCTTGAGTGATATGGTTGGGTGTCACAAACAGTGGCACTCGTACATTTACTCATTATTCTTGCAACCTCAGTCTTTATCAATCATCGTCCCCTTGAATTTGCTCTCAACATTCCAATACCCCTTCTGTTCTTTCATCCAAATGGGTGGCCGGAAGATAGCAACCAAAACCGGCGCGCAACAGTGCATGGTTAACGGTTGTATAAACTGAAACTGACTTCATATAATATCCTCAGCCTACGGTGCACGGAACGCTATCAACTCCGTCTGCATCTCTGCAACGTCTCCATAACCAAAGCACCTGGATAGACCGAATTTGTCACGCAAATGTGACAATTTATTACCAAGTGGATTTTAACTACGACCCTGTTCAATCGAGTGATTACGGAAAACACATCACCAGCGTTGCGAAATTCTATTAATCGTAATCTCAGTTCGGTCGTGAAAGTGCACTCTGCAGTTTGGCACGGAGGTGGCATGGGTCAGTCATGGCCAGGTTGGGATCCAAAAGACTCTGCAACTGGTTGGTTGGAGACACTGAAGGATATGGCAGCAAACCGACAGCAATGTCGTTCTTGTTGTCATTTCTTATCAAATAGGATGCTTGAAAAGATATACACGCACACTTAGATTGTGTACTCTGTGTATTGATCATAGAGGTTCACTTTCTTTGCCTCCCTCCAAGTAGGCCCAATTCCGCTCCATCTTGTGCTTTACCACTTGATTTGTGTGCATTGTGAGTGTGGCAGCAATCAGTAAAGTTGGGTTCACCGTATCCCGCTGTACGATGATGATGATTCAGACATGGGTCAGATAAACTGGGCATTGTCCAGTTGTGCAATATTGAAGAATCATCCTGTCACATGTGATCATTGCACGACGACGATCATCAAGATCATAATTCAGTTCACGAGAATGTCACTAAGTGAAACAATACGAATGGTGCACGATTCAAAGCTATTTGAGCTTAAATAGGTCCGTGAGATTGTTGCCAGAATGTTTTGATCATCGCGGGTTGTTCGCGACTTTTTAACCGACCCAAATCCATACAACTTTAAGAATAAATGAGAAATTTGAGGATAAAGTTCTTCACAATACACGCGTAGACATCTTCAACGTGCTTTTGTGAATCCGGTGACAAACATGTCAAAATACGCGGGAGTGATCAGTACAGCTGGATATGAGTATGCGGAGTGTACACCCAGTGTCACAAATTTGCAAGACATTTACAATTCAGGACGACAAAAATGGGTACAATGGATCACAGCTCATTATGCTAATGATCAGGTTGCGTGGGATAGAAAACCACATTGAACGGGTTTCCTAATTGAACGGTATAATATTAAGGGACGAGAAATAAGCACAGTCTCGAAGGTGTTGTTGTATATTGACACATCCCTACTGGCACGCTTTGAATAAGGATTGGGTAACAGTGCGTAGTCAAATCTAATACCAACGATGCAGATTCTGGTAGGGTTCAAGTTTTTCATTTCCAGGAATGAAAAAATTTCATTTGGTAATTCTCAAAAGAGCATCAGCGGGATGATTCTGTTATGAACATTTTGAACGGGTTGACACGCTTTCGGGACGATTCCAGAAGATCGACTGCGAACTGTTGTTTAACTAAATAAGATCACTGTGCATGCAGCCAACATCAGCGGGATGTGGCTGAATGTGCCACGAATCAAGTACAGTCGCCCGCCATAAGGGGAACGAATTCGAGGTTGAGACAATCGGGAGTCCAGTTGGAATCGGATCTACAAGCGTACTTTTACACTCACGAATAATGGGGGGGGGGCAGGGAGTCAGTATGTTTTGTAAGCACTGGGGTGTTTGAATCGTTTTTCTCGGATGAATCGACTACGCATAACCGTGATTATGAGGTGCTGATTTGAATAATTAGCATGCCAGATTTGATGATTCTGAGTGGTTTAGTGACCGGAAAATTGCTAGAAAACAGCGTGGAGTTAAAAAAATTTCTGTTCAAATTAACTGGATGAAAGAAAGCCAGCGGTACAGTGATAACCACAGAATTTTCCGTTGCTTTGCATTATGAACACGTGCATTTGTTGATTGTACAAATAGTATGCAAGACAGTTTGACTAGTGAGCTGCTTGGAACATTCAGCCACTTAACATAGTCTTTCAAAATAGATTATCAAGGTGTATGGGGTACCCAGTAGGAATAGCATCTCTGACTCGGAGGGCTGTCCGCCCCTTTGGGGTATCCTCCATTCTTCGGTCTCCACTAGGCGCCCAGCTCTCATATATGGCTCAAAGAGGCTGTTTGGATGCAACAACGGCCACACCCCAGTAAACTGCTTGACAGGTGGGCCAAACCAGGTCGAGGGTAACCGGGAGCTTAACTCCCGGCGAGTCGGTGTCTTACGTACGTGTTGGGCGGACGAAATCGCTTTCGCTACTCAACGGTCAAGGCAATGACTCCGTACTCATCAGGGATGCATGGATCGCTGTTCAACCAGAAACTGCCAATAGCGTATGAGCTCTACCCCAGAAAGCCACTGGCAAACATGCGCTGCCATCTTCCTGCTGCGTTGCAGTTAGCACTTTAATGTGCAAAGGCTAGAGATGCCACCTCGACCCAAAGCCGGGTGACGCCAGGGTACGTTTCTTGTATCTAACTCCCAAGAAATTTCATGGATATTCACTTGATATTCATGAATCCGGCTTATCTTCTCTCACGAGCCAGCCACCGTAAAGTAAGGTAGGTAAATAATCTCAAGGTAGCTGAGACGTTCGCACACAAATACACGTTGTCCTATCCTCGCTGACCTTTAACGCGCATCACCGATACTCGTTGTGGCCAAATGTATGTAGCAAATGTAATCGGTTGCGCAATATCCATTTCCAACTGATCAGTTATTGTTCTGATCCTAAGCCGACTCACCGTGTTGCGTAAACTGTTTTTCGGTTCAGCGGAGCCCCTTCTCCCCCCGCCCCCATTCGTGACAGAGGTGGGAATGAAATGTCTGTGAATGAGGCGTCTAATGTGACAGCTTTTTTTTTTGTTTCAAATTGGTCTGTGGGAACGGCTGTCTGGAACTGTACGTGAACAGATTGACAAACACGGATATCGGGGTAGATCATGTTGCGCACACTCCCAGGGAGGAATATCGAACAACCAAAACAAATGATTATGAGACTAGTCTGAGAGATACACGCGTGACGGCCACTAATCATCGGCACATTGGTAATCCCTGAATACAGATCCGTCCGTATGACATGTGAACCGACCACAATTCGAGTAAAGGACAATGTCGCCAATCTGATCCGGAGCGGCAAGCCAACAAGTAGATGACCGGCGGAGACCATAGCGGTCATACACGAAAACCGGTACAGCCACCGTAACAACCATTAGCGATGTGAAATAAAATCCAAATGATTGCCTATCATGATTCGATGAATCGATCTATCGACCATATATATAGTAGAGAAAGATCGAGTTAACCCGACAAATCATATCCCATATCTAACGAAATGCGCAAAAGCTCTTGTCAAACACAAGTAGCAAAAAAAGGAATGGAATTAGACTGATCTTTCAGCGGGGCGGAAATGGAGCTTAGCTCTCCGAATGTGATCTATGGTGATCTATGTTACAACAGCAACAATGCGTTGGACAATGTTTTAAACTAAGCTAAAAATAATAGTGTGTGTGTGTATACTCCAAACACGTGACACAGCCTACACACTGGACAAAAATCTAAAGGGGTTGTAACGATTAAAATCGAATTGTGTTCGGGTGAAACGATGGCTATAAAAAAGGAAACAATGGTGTGAACACAGGATTTCGGGGGGGGGGGGGCGGGAAAGACGCGTATTCGCAACCTCGCCCCCGAGTCGAGGGTTTCTGTGCCTGGGTTGACAGAACGGAAATCACTGACTGTCCAAATGGTTCTTTTTCACGATGCTGGTGATCAGATTCACCGTGTCGCCTAATTGGTCGTAATTGGGTCAGAATAGTTCACGAACTAAACTGCGTTAGAAACGAACGAGTTCGGACTGCGGCTTTGAACATTAGCGTAAAAAGCTGAATGAAGATGACCGAAAAAAAGGCGAACAGTGCGGGGCGGGGAGGGGGGGGCTGGGNTCGAATCAAGAAAGAAATGCGTGTGAGAGAAACGAAAAACAGATCCACCACACGTGAAACACCTAACGAACGAACTAACCAGGATGGCATGAAAACCCTGAGTGAAATTCTAAAAATGAGATAAAAGAGAGGAAATACACGCTTAAAAACGTCTGGGCGAAAATTGTGAACTACAAGAATGCACGAACATAAAAAAGGAAATCAAAAAATCGAAAAGCGTGCGGTGGAATACACACACACACACCAAACATTATTGATCGTGATATTGTTCTTGGTAAATTATTCCATCAAGATATTTCCCTTTTGAATACAGCGCTCATCACCTTTCACTTTCGATGTGGCACTGGCATCAGACTTACTTTCAATTGGTTTAAACGCATAAATATGCCCTGCCGACAGGTTATGCATTTCTGGGGACGGGGGTGGGATATTATTTCTGATCACACATTCGAGGGATCATGTGGTGGACCGTAGACAAGAACCGGTACTGAACGAGAAACGGTCAAAATTCAACATATACCGTTTTTTTTTGTGCCTACATTTCACGCTTACTTTCGATGTGAAGCGATTGGGGTGGATTCGGAGCCATTTGTCGGGGAGTTCGAGGTTAGAATTGATGATTCCAGATGCACTTCACCAAAGTGCCGTGAACCAGCAGCTGGGACACCCGTTCGCGGGGGACTGCGAGCGAGACCGCGCAAAATGTGAATGCTGGCCTGAGGTGTTGTTGTTGGATGCGTCGAATTCGGCTCATTCGAACGCTTGGTTTTCAAAGCCAGGGAGACAACACCTTTACCGGATTGAGCAACACGACGCTCAGGAGGACCAGCCGAGCCGAGCCGACCGGGAGAAGTAATCTCAATTTCGTTTGGATACTGATCCCTGTCTGATTTTGTGCCATCGAAATGTTGCTGTCGAATCCAAGGATGACTGGAAGAGGATTCTGGAGGCTGGGTGTGGTTCGTGTGAGTTCCATGGATCCAAACTGGATCGCGATTCCCGTCTGAGGTTGGTTGTTTGACTGACGATGTGATAATTGTGGTAGGTGCAACGTTGGATAGTTTTCCAGTCAGTCGATTGGATGACATAGTGTCTAATACGAAAAAAATAAACATGACAAAAATCGGTTTAACTGAATCAAACATAGGGAAACAATCTTCAAATCAAGCAACACACGTCGCCTATGTTCGAGTGTATCTGCCCAAATTATTAGGATTTAGTTCAAGCCCAGATAACTCCTTACTTGTTTAAACCGGAAATGCAAAGACCGAGAAAAAGCAAGTCTGTAGAATTCGCTTGCCGTACCCGGTTCGGTTAAGCGAGCAAGTCAAGTCCAGAGTGCACTTTATCCGACTAATGTGGACAGAATTTTCAGTGTAAAAATACTGTTTTTGCTTTGGGATATATGCTATTAAAATTAATTTCAAGATATGACAAATAGGATACAGACGATAGTGAGGAACTGAGAACGCGTAGCAAATGTAGAAAATTGCGGCCAGAAAATTTACGCGAGACTGGGAATTAGTTCGTTTGATATTCGTTCCCCGGAAAGAAACAAACGTGAAAGGTACAACGGGCTTGTGCAAAGCATTGGTACTAGTGTATAAGGGTTTTCATTTATTGCGGGTGACAGAAGTTGAAATAGAACGAAAGAGGGTTGAGTGTAAAGGAAAAGACAAGATGGAGTCGCACGCCTCAAGGTGTCGATTGACAACTGAGTCAATCAGCGGCTTGTAAGATATAGCTCCATATCTTGAGATGCTTTTCAGAGAGCTTTTGATCAATGTGCAATCCTCAGACAATAGACTGGGGAAGATAACGGGAGGGCAGTAGGTCCAACAGTATAAAACGCACGAGAAATAAAATTAAGAAATGTTGTACAATGGAACCCTCAGATGTCGAAGGCGTGAAATGTAAAAAGTCAGCTTTCTAACTGATGATATCACCTCGGCTGGTGATGAAACGTTTGCAAACAAATTGCCAAGTTCAGCGAACAAGCGAAATGGAATAACTTTAAGAAATGTTTGTTCTACGTGATAGGACCACTTGAGGTCAGCGGACAGAAAATATCCAAGACAATTGAAGTGTTGTGAATTGTTAACTTTTAAGTTAATAAAATGAATGTATGTCATAAAGGAGATGGGTGTAAAGCTGGACATGATTGAACGGGACACATCGAAGCAATCAACTCATAACCGAAATCGAAATCTGTGTTCACGTTGTTCAAGAAATACACACAGGCGCACAAACACATGTTTTTGTTTCCTTTTATGTTTACTGATCCAGATGTACAATAAACGGTCAGGAAGAGGATCGAGGTCGTACAAAGGCTGCCTGTTAAAATACAGATATTAGAAAGATGGACGACCGTGGCGGGGTGCCAACCAGAAGTGGTTGATTCGAAGACCTTACACCACTGGACCATCACCAACGAGGTTGCATGGAATGAAGAAAGTTCTGTAACAAAAATACCTACTGATATGGATATTAGATTACGAACCAACGTAGCTTAATTTTGACAATCAGTCCACCGCGTACCACGAAAAAATCTAAATTTTATACTGAAAAAAGAGAAAGAAAAGAGTGGAAAGTGAGAAGAAGATTTTCACCACAAGACCGTTAGATTGTTTTCATTTAGTGTGATATCAATAGTTGTGACTTGTATTGCACCACAAATATTTATGTGATAACTGATGAGGCAGAGTGAATGTGGAAACCGTTAGCCCACCGGTTTAGGTTGATGCGAATTATGTGCACAAAAAAGACGGTATGGTACAATTTCTCGACAGATACGTCAATCCAATTCGAGGAGGGAGAGCGGGAGTACACAGATCTGGTCGAAATCGGTATGCAATGCATCCCCCCACCCGCCCAGCCCCGGCAAAAAGTGGAACTGGGACACAGAACGGG